GAAAACGTTTTTGGCTCGTCTAAAATACAAACACTGTCCGGTAAACGGATAATCATTATAATAAAACGTGTCTTATGTACGGACTACAATGTTCACTAATATAGGTCAACGAAAAACCATTCTTGGAATTTTACTAACTGGATTTTTGCATTGAATTTTCTTGCTAACTGCGTCGGAGATGGAATTCCGTCAGAAAGGAAGATCGAATATTACGTAAAAATGCATATTTGTTCTTATAAAAGTTGTTCAGTATGTTTTCTATCCGGTTGCTTGCCTAAAAAATTACGGCGAAGATAGTTTTCTACCATCTTCAGAATAGTAACAATTGTAACACGTTCGCACTGTGCCAGGATACTCTGCTTTAGCTACTCAATCGTTTTCGATTACCGGGAATAAACTATTGGCTGTTTATTTGCCGGTAAAATGAAATCCAAGAGAGACAGATAAGTTGATCTTGAAGGTCATCCGTTTGGTCCTACTCGGACAATCCGTCGGCAATTAATTTCCGAATCGGTGAAACTTCTCAACACCAGAGAAGTGTGTGGCGGTGTACCGTCATGTTGGAACCAAACTGTGTTACCAACTTCCGTTTGTATGTGCCAAGTCGCTGGTATCACATTATCTTGAAGTATTAGCAATTATAAGGCCCCCTAAGCAATGCAATAAGCAAAACTGTTTCTACATGTTACGTTTCCGTTAAAAATAATAGTCTTATCATGCGTAATATTAGCTCATACTAACACCTTGAGATTAGGAAGCCATTTTGAGTCAACAGATTTCCAACGAATGGAATGCGCACCATTTCCGTTCACATAAAAAATGGCTTCATCCGCGAACATCGTTTGTCACAAGTCCTGGTTTGGATCGTTCATCACAATCGGCTCTCCCTTACTGTGATGGGCTGCTTTGCTACGGCTTATTCCGTTTTTTTTAGTCGCACAGGAGTTAACTCGGTACTGAATTCTCACAGGATCGTCTTCCGGTAGTGTTTCCCGTCCAGACGAGAACTGCACGGGCAGTGAAATAGGACACAGCTGGAAGTGAGTAGGAATTCATTTAGTATGCATAAATCATGGTTATTTGTTGGGAATAAAGTGAACAGGTAAATGTATAAATCAAACCATTGATTGATTAGATTGTTCTCAACCGTCTTGATTGGTTATCGGTTCCGACCAATCACCTGTTTGGCTATCCTTATTAGCAGTGGTGGTCTAGTGGTTAAGTCACCAACTACTCACCTGAAAGTCCAGAGTTCGAACCGTTCCACTGCCGCCGATCTTCCCAGGGCAGTCCTTCCTGAATGATGACCGTACATATGTATATTTAATAAATAAAAAAAAGAAGTAAAAAAGATTTATTTATTTTTATGATTGATTGTCCTAGAATAAAACAGTTCTCAGCGAGCATGCTAACTCCCTGACACATTAATCAGATGCATCGTGCACAGCAGAATTTATAAAGACATCTGTGGTGAATGAGATGAACAAATGGTGTTTTTAACGTGTGTGTGTGTGTGTGTGTGTGTGTGTGTGAACATTCACCGGAGGTTAGCTCTGGTCCCACCATGCGATCAGCGATCCATTGGTGAACAAACTTGAATTGACCATCCCCAGTTTGAGCCAATTGGTACGGCAGCTGGACACATACAAGCATGACACACGAGGAGTTTGTAGTTCAAAGGCTGAAACAATGGTTGAATAATCACTACAGATGAGTACCACAAAAGGTGAACGTCAATTCTTGTACTCCCCTAATACTTGGATGGTTGTATGAACTCAGGATGGTGCGCACAGGTAAAACCAAAGTTAAATGCTTCATTGGTGAATAATATTGATGAGTAAGAGCTACGATTTTTACGTATTTGATGCGATTTTACCAGATGACACGGGTATCGAGTCAACCTTTGCAGTCAGTGCGAAAGAGTGGACATATGGACTGGTTGAATAATGTTCCACGCAGCATACGGATCGTTAGCATTTCCAGGTTGAGTGTGACCGTTTCATGAGATTCGTGTTTGCCTTGAATTGACCAAGACTTCACTCTGAATGTTTCATTCCGTCAAGCAGAATTCATGTGGTCTAACAGTGTTACAGATTATTCGCCAACAGTTCACTCGCACACACATTTGCCAAATCAAAATCACCACGCATGGCATTTGGGATTTCAGTCTTTTAATTGCCCTTAAAGATGATGAAATAAGGGAAAACTGAGAAAAGTATCCAATACCTGAATGAGTGATTATTAAGAGAGATGAGACAAGTCGCGATCGGTGAACACAAAGCTCCGGATCAGTAGTCTCGTTGGGGTAGTAAAATGAGTAGGACGATGAAAAATTGTCGGACAACAAGCAGGGTAACGGTTCTGAGAGAATCCAACCAACCATAGATACGGCTACGATACTCGAGAACAGTACGTAATACAGAGTGCTCAAACATTTTTGAGGCTACAGTTCAAAGATGACGCATTGGTGGAACAAGTCGGTTCGATGTCTGAGGCAGCAAAAAGGACGATAGTTGATAGAAAGCACGCAGAGGGTCACAAATGGAACATGAAACGCATCGATTCAATTCCTCAAGACCTGCGAAATGCCGATTATATATAAACAACGTGCTCATTCAATTGGGTCACCTGTTTTGCTGGACGATTTCGCATCTCGTATTGCA